TTTTGCGTTAACGCGTACTACACTCAAATTGCACACGACATGGAGGGCGTGCGTGAGAAACATTGTACAGCCAGCACGATGCTAACGAAAATTTGATATGTATCCGCTGCAAATCAGCTCTAATGATATTTGTCAAAATCATCCAGCGCCGCCTAGTTCTCCTACTCAACGTTTTAGCTCTTTGCGCTATGGCCAGACATAAGAAACATCGCCATCGCCTGGCCCTAAGTATGCTCAAACTCTGGTACACCAGGCCGACACTCCCTACCACTTTGCTGAGCTCGAGCCTTGTCTCGTGCGACAACAACCTGCTGTCCACCAGTCTCCCAGTTGCCATGAGCCTCCTCCAAGAAGAGAAACAACGGAGTCCTCTTGTGCCCCGCGCCCGACCATCTGGAACCCGCATCACAAGCTGTTGGCTTGAAACTGTCGGAGACGACTATTGTTTGGCAGAATTTCGGTGTGTTTATGACCATATGCTGCTAGATGTGAGCAGCACCTGACAAATGCCACAAAGGTTCAGAGCTGACGAGATAATGAAACTTGTGCAAGCTTTCGAAGTTCCCAACCCGTTCATCACCCGCTCTCGATATAACTGCTCAGCCATTGAGGCATTTTGCCTTTTGTGTGCCCGCTTCCGGAGTGCAGCAGACCTTCACGAGTTGACGATCAAGTACCGAAGGTCGGAATCAGCGCTGTCAGAGATTGTCAACGAGATGGTCATATTCCTTGACCAGAGCTGGGGACATCTACTCGGCCTCGATCATGAGAGCCTCCTTTCGCCTTCGCATTTGGAGACCTACGCCAAAGCTATAAGGAATGCAGGGGTGATGTCAACACATATATGGGCGTTCATTGACTGCACCATACGGGAGGTGTGCCGACCAACACGATTCCAGCGTCAGGCGTACAACGGCCATAAGAAACATCATGCGATCAAGTTTCAAGCCCTCGCGCTGCCGAACGGGCTCATAGGTCATCTACATGGACCGGTAGAAGGGCGTCGAGCCGATGGTTTCCTCCTCGCAGACAGTGGGCTGCTCGATTGGTGCCGCGAACACGCAAAGCGGCCAAACGATGGAACATCGGGCACGGAAAGCTTTTATCACCTCTTTGGGGATCCGGCCTATGGCCTGAGTGACGTGCTGATCAGTCCGTTCTCAGGGCCAGGTGAACGAACACGTCAGGAGTTGGAGTTCAATAAACAGATGTCTGCGCTACGGATCGAGGTCGAGCACGTCTTTGGCAATGTTCTCAATAAGTGGGGCTTCCTCCGGTCGTCGAGCAAAATGCGGGTATACTCATCTCCTGTCGGTTGTTATTATCGTGTCGGAGTCCTCCTTGCAAACGCTATGAACTGTCTCCGGCCTAATCAGACTTCTCAATTCTTTGAATGTGCACCTCCTAGCTTACAAGAGTATCTCCATAGGTAGCGAAATCTGAACGCAGAGTATGCACATAAGAATACATATAAATACATGAGGAGTACGAGCAGCTGCATGCGAACGAGACATTACACTTCCTTATCATCAGGCCAATCACCACCTACACCAGCATCCGGCTGCGAACTGTCAGAACGAAGAGACGAACTCGATTGGTCTGCGAGGCCTTCGATAGCAGCGACAACAATAGTGTTCCCATGCTCCTGCACATCTACAAAACGCCGGATCTCAGAAACAGTTTGCGCCTGGATAGTCTCAAGATGGTGAAAATTAGTGGATGTGATGTTGACGATCTCGCGGAGCAGTTCGTGGGTCTTCTCGTCCGTACGTTGTCGCTTCGACAAAGGTTGCTCGCCGACCTCCTTGCTGACGTCGCTGTGGTCGGCTTCCGAATGTTCACCGCGAACCGACAGGTCGTTCTCCGAGTTTGTGCCGTCGTTTGAGTCTGATGGGGTGTCAGACCTACGCCACTTCAAAGTCTTCATGGCAGCGGCGCGGATGTGTGCACCACCTTCACGATCCTTTGCTTTTTTCTATTTAGTAGAGATGAGCATCTACAATACAGATGTATGAGTGAACATACCTTTTCGTTTTGAGCCTTTGACTTACTGTTCATGTCACGAGCCTCCTCCTTCTGCGAGACGGCTGTGTCAAGGATGGCGCCGAAGCTGACCCCACCCACACCATCGAGTACGGACTGTATGTCATGGCTAACACTCTGTGCCGTGCCCTAGGTGCAAGATGTCAGACGAGAGGAATGAGCGATACAATGCAAAAGCATACCTGATGATACGCGACCATAGCGTTCATCTTGTTCTTGATTGTTTGCACACTGCTATGTTCAAACATTCCACGGGCGTGAAGGTGCTCTGCAATCTGCATCCAGGCCTGTGTGACCTTGCCGTGAGGCTTGCCGTACGGATTGACGTCGACGGTCTTCTTGGCGAGCTCATAGAGTTCACCTGATGTGAAGCGTGTCCGAGGCTTCTTCTGCGACCTCTGGGATAGCTGCGTCGGCGATGGTGGTGCCTGCGGAGGTGGTGGGGGCGGTGGTGGGGGCGAGGGACTCTTGCTGGCCGGGCGATGCGAGTCTTGATGCGCTGCATGTCCTCCAGATGGCTGCGGTGCCTCCGACACAGAGGCTCCTTTGTGGATGTTCTGCCCAGCCTCGATGATGGCTGGTGCAATGCCTGCAGGGCCAGATGTGGTAGAGGGGAGCGCTTGTGAAGAACAAGGGGCAGGTAAGGTGACCGGATAGGCGATATGCGGCTGGGTTGGCAGATAGGTCTGTCGACATGTTAGTACCGATGTTAAGCCTCACGGTGCAGATCATCACGTACCACGTCAAGCGCATCAGACCCCCTGAGTCCATGGCCTACTGCACACGAATCTCCGTGACCAGCAGAGTCTGCGAAGTTGTTGCCAGCGAGAGACGGTTCAAGCAAGGAGTCAGAAGTGGCGGTGTAAGGGAGAGGGTCATCGACTAGACACCGAGGCGACTTGGGCAAACCATCGAAGTTAAACAAATCCATGGGGGGTCATCTGAGCACGACGAGGAGTCCGCTCGCAGTTTATAGACAGTACTGAGGTGGTGAAGCTCCACCGATGATGTCGAGCATGACACTATTCAATATATGAAGACGCCGCCCGCAGCTAGCGACAATTCAGCATGTCGCGAACGCCAAGATGTCTGGAGCGCCAAAAAACATTGCGATCTCAATATTTACTCGCTGCAAATCAGCTCTATTGAGTTTTGCGTTAACGCGTACTATCTTGGGCGGGCGGCGGTCCTTCAGTCCGGAGGTGGAGACACGATGCGAGGGCCACCTGAAGGTGGGGGTGAAGCATCAGCTTGGGCGTGGGCCGGGGTCGAGCGTGAACGGCTCGCCCCGGGCCACTCGGCGGCTCTCACGCCGTGTCTCTGTATCCTCTTTGTAACGATTCGGGTCTTCGTGACCTTACAAATTCATGGATCTGATGTGCTAAACTGCCTATGGTGCGATGATGATACAAGGGAGAGGAGGGTGGGACGAAAAGCGAGCCCCGAGGGCAGTCCTCTTCGTCGACTCTGGCCGCGAGAGCGAAGAGCCGACGTGGCGACCTCTGCCGCCCAAGAATCGGCACCGCCGCACGTGACCTCCGCTCCGGTGCGCCCACTCTTGGGCGGGCGGCGGTCCTTCAGTCCGGAGGTGGAGACACGATGCGAGGGCCACCTGAAGGTGGGGGTGAAGCATCAGCTTGGGCGTGGGCCGGGGTCGAGCGTGAACGGCTCGCCCAAACCGCACCCCAGACGGAGCGCGCGACCGGCTAGCCCCCACCGTGCGGACTGGGTCGTCCCCGAATGCGTCTTGTGGTCCTCAGAGGGACGCGCTGCATGTGCGCCGGGAGGATATCCTCGGCCATCCGCCAATAGCGTAGGAAGGCGTCCGAAGACCATCGGCCAGCCTTCTTGACGATCTCCGGAGGCACGCCGGCGAGTAACAACTCGGTGGTGCCGCCGATGCGAAACGAATGTCCGGTGAATCTTGGTAGGCCGGCTGCCGTCCAGACGGAGTTGCATCTACTCATGAAAAAGCGCTTGGTGAGCGGGCGAGTGCCGAACGATGTTCGGTAGGCGAAGAGGTGGTCGCCCGCGGCGGGGGAATTCCAATACAGGTGGTGGCGGAGGGCCCGAACGGGGTCCGATGAGCCGTGCTGGTTCAGGATGACGACGTCCTCCCCTTGGCTGAACCGAGTCTTCGTCGAAGGGAGGTGGATAGTGTGCGATGGGGAGGATGGTGAAGGGAAGGTGAGGCTGGCCCGGGTAGGGGTTCTCTTCGAGGTGGCTGGAGTCGTCGAGGAGGGGAGTAGTTCCCCCAGGCGGCACTGTCCCCAAAAGGCCAGGCAGGCGGCGGCGAAGACGGCAATGTCTACCGGGTTCGATAAGTCTAAGTTCGCCCTCAGGATGCGAAGCATGCCCCGACTGACGGGAAGGCGGGGTGGGAGGCGGGAGAGGGCCGGGCGTCTGTTCTCCACGCCATTCAGCACGTATTTGAGACGCTTACCCCCTTTCCAGTCCGCGTTCTGGGCCGCGTGCCAGGCTTTCAGTCCTGCGATGGAGTTCCTCGCCGTGCTGCCTGCCCGGAGGCCCTCGTTGGATGCGGCGAATGCGCACAGGACCAGTTCGTCCGCGGGGAGCCAGAAGCGGCGATCTATCTTCTCTTTCTTGCAGAAGCGGATGAATCTGTTGACGGCGCTGTTGTAGCCTTTCAGCGTCGAAGGGGCCCACCCGTGATGGAGGGCCTTCGCCAAGTGGTGCTCCGTTGACTTTGATAGCCTGATGTTGTTCGGGTTGTGAATCTTCGACGCCCGCGACTTGGAGTGAGGTAAGGAAAAGAAATCGGATGTAGAGTGGGTTGGCGAGGGGTGACGCGAGCTACGCCGCCAGCCGGCTTTGTGTGAGGAGGTCGTCGCCGTCGAGGAACGCATGCAAGTTGTTTGGGAGAGAGGCGACGGCGTCTCCCGCCTCTATGCTGTTCGACGCGCTTGTCGTCTTCGGTCCATGCTCTCTCTCTCTCTCTTTCTGTATGTAACGCTGAGGTAGCAATAATAATTACGTGCTTAACGAGGCCTTAGCGATGAGGCCCGAGACGCAGAACGGTATCTTGAACACTGTATCTACGCGGTTTGTACCCGCTGGAGCCACGCCTCTCGAAGGCTCGTCGGCCCTATTCTGGCACGAGGGGACGTACTCTGAAACGACCCAGATGTTTGCGGCGCGCATGAGGGCGACGACCCGCTGGAGGACCCGGTTTTGCTCCGTGTTTCTGGACTTTCCGGCCTCCAGCGCGCCGATGACGCCCTGGTTGTCTGACTTTATAACCAACCGGGCGTCTGAGACGCCTCTCTCGATGGCCAGACGAAGGCCGAACTCGACTGCGATCATCTCGGCCCAGCCGATGTCGCGCCCGTTGGACTTCCAGCCTGGTTTGAGCTCCCAGGCGTCCCACAGGCCGTCTATGACCACGCCGACTCCGAACGACGTCGACGCGTCGACCCAAAGATCGCATGACGACGTGATTCCGGGGGCCCGAAGCGAGCTACCGCAATCCGAGAGCTGTAAGTGGGTTCGCCAGAATTCGATATCTTCTAGGATGTGTGAGTTGGGTCTCCGTCTGGCGAAGGGGGAAAGCGAGTGATGAAAGGAACTTGCGAATTTCGAGAGATGTACTAAACGCGACCGGCCGTCCGGAAGGGCTAGGCTGCAATGCACGAGCGTGCCGAGGACGCGTTCGGCCTCTTTTCGCGTGAAGGAGCGTCCCGGGACCCAAGGCGCAAGCTTCTCGACGTATCTCGCCTTCTTGTCGTCTGGAATTGAGACCCGTTTGGCGATCAGGTCCCAAATGAAGCCTAGATACTTGAATGTCGACGCGAAGTCGCGTGTCTTCGAGGGCTTCCAGGGCCATCCTAAGCTCTCCGCGAGTTTCAAGATGTCGTTCAAGTCGTATCGGTAGCGAGTTTCTTCTCCGGGGCCGACTTCGATGGGGTACCTGAAGAAGGCGAAGTCGTCGACCCACTTCTTCAGGGCATCGACGCCGGACGCGAGGTAGATGGCGGCCATGCAATCGGCCACCCGTCCCCACACCCCGGGGGAACTTGAAGGGCCGAAGGGTGCGTTGTGGTCGATCCAGTAGTCGCCCCGCCAATTCACTACGAAATGGCGTTGTTGTTCGGGGCGGATCGGGATACACCTGAAGGCGGCGTCCACATCCAGCGTTGCGACCTGCGCGTTCACCGGGGCGTCCATGACCAGGAGCGCCATCTCGGCGAAGGAACCCCATTCGCACTGGAAGGCGTCTACGTCGATTTCGCTGTTGACCGATTTCTGGGACGGCTCGTCGCGCGGGAAGGAGAAGTCTTGGATCATGCGCATTTCTTGCGAGCCGGCCTTCGGGACCGCCCCCAGCGGGGACGTTCGGAAGAATCCAATCCGCGACTCGAGTTGCGCCTTCGAAAACGGGCCCGAGTACCTTCCGGCTCGTCTCTCTTTCTCGACATAAGCGTCTATGGCCCCGCTATTCTCCAGTGCTGATCTATGATTAGGTGGGTTATATGATTCGGTTAAGACGGATGATACTCCCATATCGAACCCGTCCTCAATGTTTGACGCGACCTCCGGAAACCTATGTGACAAGTCGAACTTCCGTAGTGTTGCTTCCCAGCGGGACGCGACGAACGGCGTGACCACGGGGAAGGGGTTAGCACCCGATGGCGCATTCCTGGGCCCCGTGATTGGCGTCCCCGCAGAGGGTGCATCTGTGGTCGCCTTTGGCGCAGGCGCTGACTTCTTTCTTCGTGCAACCGCTGGCCATGTTGTAGTAGAAGCAATAGTGTCGACCTTTCGCGTCCCTGACTGACCGGTCCTCGCTTCGGGTGAGCCTGACTGGCTGGCCGTTGACGAGCGTCTCGGCCTTACAGGCTGACGCCCTGTGGCCTTTCCCGCCGCACAGAAAGCATTTCTGGTCGACGGGTTTTGGCGCGAACGGCTGGTGGCGTCCGGTCGAGGTCCTCGGCGCCGGGTCTGATCGGGTGTTGGAGTTTTTCGGTCCTGAATGGGTCCGAAAGGGCTGAAGCGACGCCATGACCTGAGCTCGGATGTGCGCCGGTTCAATCTTCCTCCAGATGTTCATGTGAAAGGTGCCTGGGTCGATGCCTTCCAAATGGCAGCGCCGGCGGACTTTGGCGTCATACGCCAGCCATAACGTCCAATTTTCTGACGTTGCGCCGTCCGTGCGGCAGATGCGCTCGAAGTGCTTCCTCCAGCGTTCGTAGTCACTCCGAAAATACGCCTTGATGAGTTGAAGGAGGCGTTTCCACGCCTGGTACCATTCGCCGAAGGATAGCTTCAGTTCTCCGGCGGACGGCAAGACCTTCTCCGCTTGAATGAGGCCTTTCGCTGGGTCGACGGCGTACATGTCGGTCAGCAGAGATGATGTGTCACAGCCGTACTCCGCGACGGCTTTGTCGGTCAGGTAGTTTAGAGGGATGTGTGTCGTCCAGCCTTCTTGGAACTTCTTCCGAATCGGGTCGGGGATGGAATAGCAATCCGCCTTGGCCTGCTTTCCCCTGACGAGCTGGGGGCGGCGCGGACCCTTTGACGGCTCGTGGACCCGATGAGTGGGCCAGTCTGGCCTCCGGTGGTGCCTCGGTGAGCGCCTCCTGCGCGGAGAGCGCCGGCTCCGGCGATCCCTCCTTTCGCGGTGGTCGGCCCTCCTCGGACTCGGCGACGAGCTCGGTGAACGCCTGCCACTATGGCTGCTCGTTCCAGAGCTTCTCGAGGACGATCTCGACGAGGATGGGGAGCTGCTCGGCGACGGGCGATGTCTCGAACGGCGTCTCCCTCTATGGGAGGGAGAGCTCTCCTCTTCGTCGCTGGGGGACCGGCTTGAGGGACTGCGGGAAGATTCCCGCCTTCTGCGCTTCCTGGGTGGGGAGGAGCGGTGAGGGCGACGATGTCTGGAGCGCGACCTGTACCGCGGCCGTTTCTGGCCCCGGTGACCCGATGGATGTTCCGTAGGATCTGAGCTCTGGTCCGCGCTTGGGCTGGGCTGACGCGCCCCGGATTGCCCCTGTTGAGAGAGGTCGTCCTGCCTCGATGGCGTTGGGGATGACGGAGGGGTCGGTGGTTCCAATCCACCTGTGTGAGCGTCAGCCCTACGCCCTATGGCTGCGAGTGACGTGGAGTGCCCTATGGCGGATGGTGTCGACCATATGGTCGACGACCGGGCATGGCCCTATGGCCTAGCGCGGCGCCTATGCGCTCGCTGGTGACGACATCGACGACCATATGGCCGCCGATGGGATGGGGGCGGAAGGCCTATGCCCCCTCCTATGGGCTTGGACTACGACTCGCTCACCTATGTCGTCTGACGGGGGTGGGAGCTGCGACTCCTGCTCGTCTCCCTCGTCGTCTTGGCTCGACGAGCTCTCGTTGCTCCCGCCTTCTCTCTCTGATTCCTCCCCCCTTCTGTCCTCCTGGGACTGGTCGGCTGCTGGGGGTGTCCCGGGCTCTGGATGGATGCCTTGGAACGTGGAGCTGGAGGCGATCGATGCCTCGTCGATGATATCGGCGAGTTCTTGTCTCGTGAATAGTGCTCTGTAGTCCGGGTGGTCTGTATAGAATCTGATGTCGGCCAAGAGCTTCTGTCGCACGCGAGCTTTGAGTGCGGCCACCGTGCCGTCGTCGACGAGTCCCAAGTGTGCGGCGAGCCTCTGAAGTTCTTCTTTCCGTAGTGCCGAGAGCCGCTTGTTGAACAGCGGAGGTCTCTCGCTCCACGGTGGCATTTTGGAACTGATTCACGAAATAGTTGAATTGCGAAAAGCGAGCCCCGAGGGCAGTCCTCTTCGTCGACTCTGGCCGCGAGAGCGAAGAGCCGACGTGGCGACCTCTGCCGCCCAAGAATCGGCACCGCCGCACGTGACCTCCGCTCCGGTGCGCCCACCACTCAAATTGCACACGACATGGAGGGCGTGCGTGAGAAACATTGTACAGCGAGCACGATGCTAACGAAAATTTGATATGTATCCGCTGCAAATCAGCTCTAATGCCAATCCTCACATGGCTCAGGTTCGTTCGGTACCAACTTCACAAGTTTAGAGCCATAAGCAGTCACCTAGTCATCACTTGCGCAAGTTCCGACGGGTTAGTGTTGGGGAACCGGCTGCCCAGGCAGAGCTTACGGTGCGCAAGACAACGTCGGATCTCAACGTATCTGATTTCACGACCTTCTTAGTTTACGGCTGTCTTCCTTGGTCTCCTAATAGGGGTCCTGCTATGCTTCACGAATCTATACGTGCGTCTACACAATGACTGGTCCCTTCCTTTTGTGTTAAGGAGATGACAGTTCGGTCTTCAAACGGGATGGATAAGCATGTAAACACCCTTTACGAGCAGCTGTCACCACATATTCATGTTCATCCAGGATGTCTCTGCAATCGGCCCTTATCGGCTTTCTCCTTTCGAAGCTATTGCCTACGGGCATAACGGCCCAGGAGAACATCGTGCTACAAACAACTGCTGTTGCCACTGGAACGGTAGGCTTCCGATCTTCATCGTCATGCGGGGCGTCTCTCTCTGACGTCTACCCTGCAGATGCCTCTTGCAGCCGGTTTTGTTGGCATTCTGCCTGCTCTCGGTTTATTGGACCCGGAAAGGGATGGTTCTCCGCCCGTAGTGTTATCTTGGATGTCGGCTGTCGCGTGGTCCTGCGCCGTTGCATTCTTCGGGTACGCCTGCTCTTGTCTGTACTCATCACGAAACCGCTGACAGTCGCATTGACTGACAGTGTATTCTTGTCTCCTCCGTTACGCAAGCAAGTTGTGAGTCGGCACCGATCCTTGAAAGTCTCGTGTTGTTCCTACGCGGCGCACTTCTGTTAGATCATCAAGGAACAGCTAGCTTTTCCTTCGGGTACAGCTACAGCACAGCTTATCGCAGTTCTTCACCGCCTACCTCCCCCCGGTAACGAACCACTCAACGTGCGCAAAGGATATAGCGCTCTCGGCGTTGAAGACCAAGAGGTTGTCCCGGTCACCGCACCTCAATCCTCGGGTGCCTCCTCATCCGCCCAGCCTGGTTTCAACGAGGAGCTCGAGGCCGAGGGAGAGGAGATTCGTCACACTGGATGGACCGCCCTCGGTTGGAGCTTCCTAGCCAGCAGTCTCATGACAGTGCGTTTCAGTCTCTTATGTTTCTATGATGCTTCACAAGTTGTCCGCAGCTCATGGCGTATTTCTTTCCCGTCATCTTTGCTATTCCCGTATTTGGAAGCTACCTAGCTGAGCAATGGCTTTGGACGCTAACTCCGAGCTTGTCATATGTCGGCCAAGGTTTGCCTTTCTTCTCAATACTGGTGGTCAGCGCCTTTGACATCAATCGAAGGGATCATCATGGGGTTTCCCACAACAGTCAGCATGAATCTGGTGAGAGCTTCGGAACGTGCTTCGGAGCGAGAATCTCATCAAGGAGCCTCAGGGGATGCTCGTTGGATGGGGCGTACTTTCGCCGCTGGCCAAGAACAAAGGCTGGGCACCAGGCCCGGTTGGATCCATGACTGATGGCGCGCGAGGATGGATCTTATGGACATCGCTCGCGATCATGGTTGCAGACTCTCTGGTTTCATTGACCCCCATAATAGCCGAATACACCGGCAAGCAGGTGTCTGCGATACGTAGCCTGCGCAGTGGGGGTTCCCGCGGGCCAGTGCATACTGACGGCCGTTCGCCGATGTACAGCACCTTCGCTGCTGGAGACAACATTACCGAAGATCTGGACGACAAAGAGATCGAAACGGAAGACCGTTTGGTGCCCGTCTCATGGGTGGTGTGGGGCTTGGTTGCCAGCACAGTGCTCGGTATCATCGTTGTCTGGGCTGTCTTTGGTGACGAAGGTATCAAGCCGTACGCGACGTTCGTTGCGTTCATTGTAGGCGGCGTGTTGAGTATATTAGGGTTCGTGACATCGTGGTGCCGATACTCATGCGCTCACCTCCATCCATAGTGTACGAGCTTTGGGAGAGACCGACCTGAATCCTGTTAGCGGACTCGGGAAAATCAGTCAGTTGCTCTTCGCGGTTGTTCAGCCCGGTAATATCGTGGCGAACATCATCGCTGGAGGCGTCGCCGAAGCCGGCGCACAGCAGTGAGTGACTCAAGCGATAAGGCCTGGCGTCAGGACTAGTACTGATTCGTGTTGCAGGGCGGGTGATCTGATGCAAGACTTGAAGACCGGCCACCTCGTCGGAGCGTCTCCGCGAGCCCAGTTCTACGGCCAGCTCATGGGTTCTGCGCTGTCTATCTTCGTAACTGCAACCGCGTACAACATGTACCAGCGTGCATACACCATTCCTGGGCCAGAATTTCCCGCACCAACAGCACACGTCTGGTTATCCCTCGCTCGACTCCTGCGAGATGGTTCCCTACCGCCGCACACGAGCTCATTCATGGTCGCATTCGCACTTGCTTTTGCTTGCCTGAGCGCATTGAAGGCGGCCGCAGTTAGAAAACAATCTAATTTCGCCAAATATATCCCTTCTGGCGTCGCATTCGCCATTGGCTTCCTTAACACCCCTTCCTTCAGTTTGGCCAGGTTGCTAGGTGGGGTCGTCGAACATCTTTACCATCGACGTGCCGCCAAGGATGGACACGACATCCGCCTCATCATCGTCGCCAGCGGATTTGTCCTCGGGGAAGGTGTCATCAGTGTCATCAGCCTGCTGTTGAGAACGGCAGGTGTCGGCGTGGCGAGCTGTTGGGGTTGTGGCCACGGCCTGTGCGGAGGATGCCCAGCCGGTTGACAACACAAAACGCGGCAATGGTTAAGCAAGACATTGAACATACGGCAATTATAGACTAGTCTGCTATGTACTGTAATATCGGAACTCACGCTTTCGAGGCGGCAAGGGCGTCAGCAAGTTCTCCTTTCAACTTCTTGAGTTCTTCGACAGCAGCCGTTATCTCTTTATCTGTCTCCTCGGACTTCGGCTTCGCCTTAAGTTCCCTCACCACTTGTCCCTGTTCGGCAACCTTCTGCTCCCAAGCCAGGACCTCCGCACTCTTGAGACCATCGTTTGCAGTAGCGTCTGTGGCCTTCTTCGCCGCCTTGGCTGCGGCTGCCGCTTTCCGCTTCGACATCGCTGGAGCGACGTGCGTGGCATCAGCGTTCGGCTCCGCACTAGGCTGAGATCCACCGAATTTGGCTCTCCAGGCGTCCGCCATTTTCTCGTCGATCTTGGTAAACAGGTAAGCGGGTTTGCCGAGCTGATGGCCTGCGAGGATGTCGATTGAGAAAGCTTCCGGTACGGCACGAGGCGGAGCGTTGAGTTGGGCGAGGATCGAGTCGGACGTGACGGGCATGAACGGGTGGATGAGAGCCGAGAGCGTGTAGATGAGGTTGACGGCGCGGGACAGAACTTGTGCGCAGCGCGCGGGATCCTCGGTCATGAGCGCCTTCCCGAGACCGGACGCTTGCAAGTACAGGTTGCCGCGCGCAGACAGGTGCATGACCGTCTGGAGACCGAGACGAAGCTTGACGGACTCCATGGCGTCAATGTACTCCTTGATGAGGCGATTGACGTCCGCGATGAAGTCGGCGTCTACGGCGTCGTTGGGCGACACAGGGCCCTCGGTATCCGGAGACTCGGGAAGGACACCGTTATACTGACTTGTGATGAACTTGACCGTCCGGTTCACGAAGTTGCCAAAGCTATGTACGGAACAGGTCAAGTTCCGTCTAAGACGACAGCGATGATATGTCTTACTTGTTAAGGAGGATATTATTGTTGGCAGCAATCTGAAGCTTGGGTCAGGAAGAGTGTCAACTGACGAAAGCTGGAAATTGCATACGAAATCCTCCCAGGAGAACATGGCATCTGCGGTTTCTGGCCTAATGGAGAGCAGGTAGTACCGCCAGACATCGGGTGGTACGCCTGTCTCCTTGGCCGCAGGACCAAAGACGCCCCGGTTTTTGCTCTTGGAGAACTTGCCGCCTTCGTAGTTGAGATACTCTTAAAGATATCGGTACAGTCGTCAGCAATGTAACCGGTGAGATTTTCGTTTAGCATGTACCGGTTGTCGATATGTGATGAAGCATCGTCCACGGACGCCCATCTCCGAGTTGTATGGCCGGCCAGAAGATCGTGTGGAAGTAGACGTTGTCTTTGCCCATGAACTGATAAAGGCGAACATTATCCTGGTTGAACCACCATTGCCGCCATTCCGGCGTATAGTTGGCCGTGATACTAGGGTATCCGATCGGGGCGTCGAACTGGGACTTCATTGAGCTCTTGATCGCAGCCCAACTACTCAAGTTTGACGTACCCAAACATCTGGGGATTCCGTGAGCATGGCTGGATACTGGGGGCGATAAAAAGAAAGACATACAGAACACTTTTCCCTTCATTCCGTCATCTTCCGCGCCTTGTTCCGGAACCGGTACACCCCACTGCAGATCGCGTGTCAACGGACTGGGTCTCAAGCCACCCTTCAGCCTCGAGTCCACTAGCTCCCCTTCCGCGTTGATCACGCTGTTGAGACTCCACTTGCCCGTCTTCCAGCTCTTCTTAATCCATTCCTCGAGCGTCGGTTGGAGCGCGTTGAGGCGGACGTACATATGGGCCGTCGACCTGTGGACAACGTTGTGGGAGGGGTTGACGAGGCAACGAGGCTTGATGAGATCTATGGCGTCGAGTGTCCGGGTGCACGAGTCGCACTGGTCGCCTCGAGCGTCCTGAACCAGCTTCAGTAGGCATTTTGGTAGACAGAGGGAAGAAGTGCTACGAACATTGGCACCACAATGGGGACAAATTCCCTCCACGAAGCGATCGGCAAGGAACCTGGGGCATCCGGTCTAAACATTGGATCGGAACGGACGACTGGGACAACACACTTTTCGCAACCTTCACAATACGTCTGTTCTTTTGTCTGCTTCTCAAGATAATTGTTTTTGCGGAGGTTCAGGTAAATCTCTTGACAGATTTCAGTATGCTGGGGTGTCGATGTCCGGCCAAAGTAATCGAAACTATCCAACGCATCAGGTCGATGCAAGGCCGACTCGATAGTGAACGCACCCGAGGTTGAACCATTTATAGGTTTCGCGATGGATCTCCGTGTAGTGATCGCACAGTTGACGGGGAGTGACGCCCTCCTTCAGCGCTTGCGTTTCAGTCGCGGTACCGTATTCATCCGTACCGCACACGTAGAGCGTTCGCCGATTGCGGGTCCGGTTATAACTAGACGCAAGTTCAATGGGATTGTGATGAGCCACACCGGAGTCTGACACACCGGGCGAACACATCGGCGCTTAACGTGCTGCCGATGACATTCCCTAGTACGAATGAGAAGAGCGATGGACGCGGAGGAGATCCACAGACGCACCGAGATGTGGGACATTGTTGCAGTACGGAAGTGCGGACGTGATCAGGACGTTTTCTTCGCCTTCCTTGGGCAAGCTGTCCGAGTCATTATAGTCAGGCCAAAGGTTCGGGGATCGCAAGCTCACACGCACATTGTTTCGCCGGGGTTGGGGACGTAGCGGAGGACGTCGGGTGCGGTCCGGATTTTGGCTGACATGGTCGAGCAAGCGCGACGAGAGGAACGGAAGGAAATATAGTACAGAGAAAGGCTGGATCTGAAGAGAGGCGGCAGGGTGGTGATGAGGACGGATAAGTGCGCTCAGCAATCGCGATATTCTCTCTCGGTCACCGCATCGAGTCGAAAGTCAAAGATCCCGCACAGCTCGCGCGCGGCCATATCCGCCACCGCTGAACGGATCCCTGCTGTGCGACGCTCGTCGCTCAGTTACCATCGGCCTTTCCATCCAATCCGGGTTCCTATATAACTCTATAAGCCTTGTCCTGATTTTCGCGCCCCACATGTTGCGCCCTACTGCCTTTCACGGCGATGTAAGTAATCTACCCGGTCCCCGTCCGGTATCTAGCAACCGCGCCCGCTTTACTGTCCTGTGCACTGCAGCTGCAGTTCGAGCAAACCAGGGCAGTCATACACCCGAAACCCATACCGGAGTCTGCTATAGACGCCAAGGTCGATGAACAGACTGGCTACGGAGCTTCTCAGGGGAAACATGACAACCCCGCGGTTCTCGAGTCTCCCATAGCCACTCGATCGCGATCAAACGCCGGTTCTCAATGAAAGAAATGACCGCAGCCAGGGCATATTATAAGTCGGGCAGGGTGTGCTCTAACGAGTCGATTTCGCGCTGGTCCACACCCAAGCCATTTCACGTTTAACCTTCTCGCAGCGCTCTTAGCTATCTTCAGCTCGCAGATCACCTCGTCTCCCAGAATTGCCGCGCATACGTTTGATGGAGGCAAGGTGAATTCCGCAACCCGCATCAATACACGGAACCTCTTCACTCATTGCATGGCACATCTGTTGTCCAGGAACCTCACCCTTCCGAACACCGGGAGCATGTCCCTTCACGCTCTACCAGCTCATCCCCGTCCACCTCGCTCCTCAAGTCTGCAACGTACCAGCACGAGCAACGCACTCGCCGCTTCCGAACCTAGGAGCCATTCACAGCGCCCTCATGCGCCAAAGCCAGTCCTCGAACGCAGTCAAGATGGCCAGCAATCTCACCCTTCGACCTCATCATCGGAAACCGCCAGTGTGAGGAACTTGGTCTCCGGAAAGCAGGTCACCGATCAGACGCATACACAAACGGCGTTTGGCCAACCGAATCAGATCGAAGGAGCGCTACGCTCGTCGAGCCAGCATTCAGTCATGATGTCTTCCGAGGAACACCACGCCGGTGACCAGCAACCTGTCCGCAGGACACCGTTTGCCCCTCCCTTTCCCCTCAAACCCGTCCGCCCTGCCCGAGCCTCAGGACCAGGACTGGATCAACATGACAGCGACAATTCTCGTGTATCGATACCCCAGAACACGCTTATTACATCGAGAACTATGTCTCAACGTCGCGCTGTAGCGGCCCACTCGGCTGATCCCGTTGCACCTGCGGCCCCGTCTACTGTCGACCTGTGGGCGGACCGTCAGCCGGGTCGGTCGCGTGCTCCGGCTACCTTGAACATATCGCATCCTCCTCAGCCTCTACCCGAAGTCGGAGCAAGTATCTTGAACTCCCGGCCATTGTCTCCCTTACGCCGAGCTGGATCCGACCCATCCCCGTCCTTTCGCGGACTTCCTCGCCAGACACCTTCCTCCTTGGTTCGTAGGCACTCAAAGCCGCAATTGCCTTCACGCCCCTCCTCAAGTCGCGATGCCCAGCTGAAGATCCGTATGCAAGCTCATGACGACTGTGGCGCGGAAGAGGTATCGGGAGCCCCCTCTCGGCCATCCCAAGACCGTGCTACGCCGTCGTCATCTAGCCCGTCAAGGCCGGCCTCGTCGTCAGAACTACCCACGGTGTTAGCTGCTGCCTCTCCTCCTGCACGTATCCCGCGCGAAAAACAGCTAAGATTAGCGAATCCAGATGAAGACGCGGCTGAGGAGAAGTCTGCCGTAGCGGAGCATCTACGAGCCGTCGACCGCGACGCGGAGGAGCACGAAACGAACGCACGCATCTATCGTGCTTTGGAGTCTGAAATCCAATCATTGATTGATGCACAACAACAACCATGTACTCTGTGCCTGTGTACCTCGGCGACGATCACCTATGAACCTGAACCTGAAGCAGGCTTCTCCAGCGAAGTGCTGGCAGCATGTTCCATACAGGAAGCGGGGCAATCCTCGCCTACCGCTTCAGGAGATGAACTTCCTGTGACAATAGGTTGCGCGAGCGAAGTTTCAAGCTCCAGGACTACCACTTCGGCAGCCCGCCATTCCGATGCGAGCACGGATGCACCCCCGCGGCGTGCTCCATCTCCGATCTTTGTACCAGTCCAACCTCTCAGACTACCGGCGACGCACTCCCGCTCTACTGCGACTGCGGCCCCGGCTGAGCCGGTGAATACTGCGGCTCCGCTACCGCAGTTCAGGGACTTGCCAACGAGACATCTGGACAGAATCTCGTTTCCTCCCGACTACACCGCTGCCTTGGCACAACCTGCTTACACCGAGCCCGAACCCTCCGCTTCGTCGCTCAGAAACGAGGTCGAAGCGTTGAGAGCAGAAATAGCTCGATTGCAGTTCTTGCAGGACCGCCTGGTCATGGAAATCCATGGCGTCTCGAGTCCCCCACCCACATATCGCTCCTCCTTAGACACGTCTAGCGCGTGATGTCTCCGTGACGCCAATCCCATGAGACATAGTACCCACCAGATACCCACAGGATACCCACTTAGCATCCACACAAGATGCCAATCAGTATCTCTGAAGTGGGTACAGTAGGAGCCGGGGCCTCCACATTTGTATTTGCGGTGCCTTCTCCATGTGGATGATCGCCTCTGAGGATGGTACTTATGGAAGAGAGAAATCGATTGTGCTACCTTCGCCTAACCCACACGTTCGACATGTCAGACAAGCTTCGAGGAAAACGTGTAGTGATCGTTGGGGGCAGCAGCGGCATCGGTATATATGGCTCTGGCACCCTTGGTTTGCGCGCGTTTGCTGAACATCCCCGCCTGTACAGGTTTTGGTGTCGCCAAGCTAGCGCTCACAGCCGGTGCTTCGGTGATTATTTCGTCTTCCAACCAGACCAAAGTCGACGCGGCCGTTAAGAGACTCGTCGATCTCGACGTCGGCGGGCCTGTGGAGGGAAAGGTCCTTGACGTGAAAGGGGGCGAAAGCGCGGTCAAGGCATTCTTCGAGGCCCTGCCCGAGTTCAACCATCTCAGTTAGGATTCTCGCTCGTTCGCATGGTCGCGCGCTCATGCTGGGCAGTCTGGACGGCAGGGGACTTCTTCCCGTTGAATTATCCAAATGGCGACTTGACCGGTGTCCAAGGTCGGTGAAATGCGTTGAAAAGTGGGTTATAAATCGCTTCAAGGACTTGCATGACGCAGATACATTCGTCGTACGCACCCTGGGGCCCATATACGCTGGAAAATACGCGCCGAGTCGCATGCCGAAGAGCTCGGACTCTTCAATCATCCTCACATGTGGAAGCGTGAGCCGCAAGCCGTCGAAAGGGATGGCGATCGGTGCGGCTGTCTCCGGCGCCACTGAACGATTCGCCAAGGGCTTAGCTGTTGAACTTGCCCCGATCAGGGTCAATGCAGTGAGCCCTGGTGCAGTGCAAACAGAGGTCAGATGAGTATGACCACACGAACGAATGTTCTGCTCATCGAAGTTTCAGCTGTGGGATGCACTTCCTGCCGAGAGTGTCCAGGCGTTGCTCTCAACTCTGACGCAGAAACTGCTCGTCCAACATGTCGCGGACGCTGACGAGGTAGGCGGCAGAGCGTAGACCCAGTACTGGAGGGTGTTCGCTAACAAACATTCTTTTCTTAGGCAGCCGAGCCCTATCTTTATCTTATGGTAAGTTATTTATTTCTTTGCTTTACTTGGCTAATCCCTCGCATCAGAGAAGCGCGTATGTCACCGGCGAAGTTGTCAACGTCGATGGCGGAGCTGTTCTTGCTTGACGATTAGTCGTGAGTCCGTTATCGAGAGGGGATAGTTTGTTATTAGCAGACGATATACATTGTGGGTTGACCGAAAGAAAGTGCGAATATATACAATGAAGCAAGACCCATCAATATGAGGTAGTCAAGAGGCATCGTCCTGTTTCTCTGCTGCTCTCTCCGAGAGCACTCTCTCGCGTTCTGTCTGCCATCGGACAAGTTCTTCCCGAAGTTTCTCAACTCGCACTTCATCAATGGGATGCCCGTGGCTCCCTTGGAAGCTGCGGTGGCCTGGAGATTCAGCCTGTTCGCTCTCAGGTGGATTTGGGGAGCATCCTCTTCTGTTCTGCCAGAAGTTCACCGCTTCACGGGGATCATAGCCTGCATACGCAAGTAACCTATGTCGACTTGACGTCAATGAGATGTACAGATTGCGATGATATGAATCACCTTGCGGAGACAACGTCTGCCTCGATTTCCTGTTTCACCCCAGAACAAGTCTCCGTCAACTTCGTCAAATCTGCATGGCCCATCTTGCCGATTTGCGCGACGGCGTCATTTACGAATGGGCCAAAGACCATGGTCACGGGGAAAAGCAAGACACGAACAACGTCGGCGAGCATGGACAGCAAGCCCGGGACGACAACCGTGGCGGAGGAGAGGGTTTCGAGATGATGGGCGAGCAGCAGGTGGGAGAGTTCGTGCGCGAGGAGAATAGCCAAGTCCGTGGATTGCTGCGGCGTTTGTACAGGGTGGGGCGGACGAGCCGCGACCGATGAAAATCCGCCGAGGAAAGACGACCACCAGGACGAATTTGCTGGCTGGGGGTCGGCATTATTGGAGGTTTTAGCGATAATTTCATCCAGGAAACCGGTGTAAACTACGATGCCGCCGGCGCCGTCCGGACCGAACCCGTACGAAAAGGCATTCGAGACGTCGGGGTTCTCGACGAGCATCAAAGAGTACGGTGGGCCTTGTATCGTGTGCGGCGAAATATGGGTAGTCTTCTGCCCCGAGAGCAGCTCGCACATATTCCTGAGCCATTCTGCGCCTCGTGGTCGCGGCTTCAGAGGATACTTTGCCGGGGGCGGAAGCGGCACGTCGTTTTCGCCCCTTTCAAGCCATAGTGGGGGCATCTTGCCCTCGGCGGTGATCGCCGGGATGATGCCCTCGAGCTGGCGCAGGATCTGGTTGACCCAGACGTAGCGCCAGTCACTTGGAGGTACAATGGTGGGAGCTCCATTCTCCGACAGTATCTCGCCCACAGCCGAGAACCAGCCCGCACCCGCCAGCTGGTTGGCTATCTCATCTTCTTCCTCCGGGGCAAGGAGAATGACTCGCCATCTACAGGGCGATGCGATGAACGTGATTTGAATGGCCCATACGAAAGCGAGCTTACCTTCCCGTCAGAGGCCTGCGGGTAGAACCACATCGTTAGACGTTGTCATTGATCAGGATGGACTGACGTACGTTCTCTCCAGGCTAGCGAATATCGCCGCCCAGAACAAGACGATGGGAGTCAAGACAAGTGCATGAAACAGAATTTGACGCTTTCGTATTCGTTTGAGGATGGTCGTCCGCTTCTCCTCCAGCTGTGGATTGTTGAGATTATCCACGTATCTGAGTACTTTCTTCGACTTGTGATTCTTGAAAAGTATCACGGGGGCGAAGGTGAGCGCGACTCTGCCTATCATCCTCGCGGTTTCGAGCGCCGTTGATGCCTATAATGCGTTTGAGCTCAGGCTGAGCTCAGGCCAACGACCCATGACGCAGTTGCACGCACCTTGAGAGCACCTAAGATCACTGGCAGGAGCGCAGGCAGCCCCTCGTTTCGCTTTGTCGAATGGAACATTCTCACCCCACATGGCCTCCTCAGCTGCGAAATCCCGATATCGGCACTGGGCAGCACGGTCGCGCTGGCCGGTTGGTAGAAGCCGCCTCTTCGATTAATCCGGGGGACGTTTACTCCACTCAGGATGCCAAAGGACCTCGCAGGCGGCGACGACGTCCACGTTGTGTGCAAAGGGCCTCGAGGTTGAGATTGCCATCTTGCTGCTGTTTGAGACAGGAGACCGCTGCGGGGTGTCGTCGCAGTCGTCCGGGACTTGGCTCGAAAGAGTGGTCGCAACATCGCACATTGTTTAGCCAACGCGCAAACGGCGGCTGGAGGGAGGATGACCCAGGGTAGGATAGAGTAAGCGCAGGAGTAGTATGTTGAGGGTGAATATCAGTGGAGTTTGATACTCCTATTTGATTTCAAACGCCTGCGATCACGACCGCAGTATGACTCTTGCATCGCTCCCTAACTTAGAACCTAACCAGAAATCCGTGGCGCTATCTGCCTAAGCTGGTATCGTATGGTACAGATTTAATGAGACTATGCTATGCGCGCGGACCCGCATCTACGAGATGAAGGTAGCTTCGTTGTAGAGCCGCCCTTGCACTTCCAAACCTGCGGATAAGCCAGGGATCAAGGAGTCCGGACCTTTGACCACGAGCGTCGCCGGGTTCAGCCACTATAAGAAGCAGCAGGTAGATGATTAGCTACGCGAACACTGCGGGCGCGGGGCTAAAACTCGCCTGGTAAATGTACGGCTTGGTACCTGCCACGTAGTTGACCGCCATCTTGAGAGCGTAGGGTATCTCGCCGAGAACGTCGACCTTCTCAACCAAACCGCTCGCCTCGCTCGGGCCGCCGACAGCGATGCGCAGTGATGCATTCACCTCGCCGGGCGCATCGGCAACGATGGATGGGGCCGCCCACTTGTATTCGATCTCAGTGGGCAGGTCGTATCCCGTCTCCGCGTCCTTCGTCGGTTGCAGATGGATGGCTCGCGAGATGACGGAAGTGGACTCGGGCAGGGGCTCGTCCGGCCATCTCGTCTCCGTCGTCACCGATGCCAACTTGCCACCGAGCACCACGCCGCCAACGCTGACGGTTACGCCTCCGGATCCAGGGCCCTTACGTCCGTGGGTGTCCAGCGTCGTAAAGTCCATCTGTACCGCAGTCACGCCGCCCTGTTCGGCACTCTCGAAGTATGCGAAGTTCCATCGTGAGGCCACCAGATTGGGGCGCATGCCCTGAATAGCGTGCACGAACATGCCCGGTCCTTTCACGGGGATGGCCTGACCCTTCGTGATCAACGTGCCCGCCGCGTGGGTGAGGGGCCAAAAGCGGTGGATGACATATCCGTCCGCCTTCTCCGGGTCATAGCCGAAGTACGAGTATCCTCCCTTAGGTCCCTTGCCCACTTTGAACCCGGGGGTGGACGCTGGCCGCGTCACATCAAGCGATAGTTGGAGGTCATCGGCCAGGTTGGCGGTGATGGTGTACCCCTCGGCGTTGTCGCCGCTGGGCGAGGGCTTGTGAGTAATCGAGAACTGATCGGCTTTGCTCGATCGCTTGTCGAGCCCGGGGGGAGGGCACACAAAATGCGAGATGTTGACAGATTTCCACGTTTTCTCCTTCGTGCGGGGATTGAAGGTCTTGCACGTGAACTGGATTTGAGGGTACCAGAGACTACGCAATGAAGTGGTTACGAAAGTACGTTCGGATAAGATAAACAAGCGTACCCAACAGATGAGTGGATTAGTTGAAACGTGAGGAAAGTGCCATCCTCCAGGAGGTGGTAGAAAGTCTGCGTCTCGGTGACGAAGCCACTTCCCTGGCATTGCAGCTCGAGATCTTTGGGCTCCAGCTCGCCGAAAAGGTCTTGAACGTCATAGCGTTCCGACACGGGATGGAAGTTGGGAGCGTTGGGATCCGCCGGGGCCGAAGAGCTGCAATGGGTTCAGAACTCATGTCTATCGTCGACAGTAATGCTCACGAGAAGTAGCTGAACATGGTGGTCGGACGCAAGCTTGAAGGTCACAGCCTGCAATCACTGTTCTTGACTCCGTGACTAATGAGTCGTACGTAACACGCGACTTCGGCACACGGCAAATCCGTCGTTCGGCATGGCTGCGTGCCGAACGCGGACGCGCCCGCGGTTTTGCGGTCGCGTTCTGTCCTCGGGCCTCCTCGAATCCACCATGTCCTCGTCTTTCTCGAGGTCTGTACTACGTCTCGGTTCTAGATCAAGCATTGGTCACACCAGGAGCCTCGCGGCATGTCGCCGAATGCCTGTGCTCGCAGCTCGCGGAATGGCGTCTAGCGTCCCCAGTGCCTACGGCGAAGAACTCCCCTCGAGCACCAAAACAAAGCCGAAAGCTGCTACGCCCTTACGCAGGACGGCTGCTGATTCTTTACCAATTCGCGTCAACCCCACCCCAACACGCGGAAACATCCAGCCTGTGATCACGCTAGCGACCGCCGAGCGATACCTGCTCTCCAGGTTACGTCTCAGCACACCTTCACACCTGCAGGCGCAGATGCTGCATGACGCGTGGTATATCCCACGATGGAGTACAAAGAAAGGCACTCAAGGGGACTCGGCGCAAGAAGGCGAAATCTTCGTGTTCGGCAATGGGAGTTTCGTTTGTTGGGGCCTGGACGAGAAAGGCGCTCAAAATTTTGCGGAAGAGGTCCTGAGGGCACGACGAGATGTAGAGATTGGTCGACTCAAGGAACCGGAGGTGGAGGAACTCGATTTTGTCACGGATCCTACGGAGTGGGTGAATTCCTCCGCCCCGTTGTGTTTGATGCCCCTGACCAAAAATGCGCAGAAAAACGCGCTTGCAAGGCGACCTCATCATCCTGGGAGAAGCGCCACCTATCTCTCCGGATGCGATGCTGACGACCGTGCCTCCGACTCCCTTCTCACCCGAGACGATCCTCGCACGCTACGCCTTCTCGCAAGCACTGTCGCGGTCCACAGCTCTTTCTGCGCTTGAGGTTTCGTTAGAAGATTACTTGGCTGGTATGGCCTTGCTGCCGCAGTCATTGGAAAAGACTGGCAAGCCGGGAATGAGCCGGAAACAATTGATCAAGAAGTTGGGTGAACTGCTGAAGTACCGACAAGGCTTGAACCTGAACCGGGAGAATTTCTCTGATACGCCTGACTATTATTGGGACGAGCCAGTGCTTGAAGGTGAATACAGACTGCGCTTCACGTGTGTAACACAAACTGATGTCACATGAAGGTTACTTCAACTCGCTGAGCAATGCCTTGGAGATCAGGGCTCGTACGCGATCCATCAATGAGAAGATCACATACGCAGCAGAGGTGATTTTCATTACATTCAAATTATGTAGCGCGCGTACTCACTCTCATGCAACCACTAGCTACAAGCCGTCCTGCGTCAGCTCCTTACAGAGGTAACGTTGTCAGTGTTTCTTGGTTGTCACGTTTTGACGGGGAGGTTCTCCATACAGTCATCCGCCCATCGCATGGAACTAATCATTATAGTCCTCATCGCCGTGGAGGTTGTTATAGTACGCACACCGTCGTGTCAATCTGTTCCGCCCACTCACGGTGTACACTATCAGGCCCTTATACGTGAAGGTCCGGAGCTTTGGCGTAAATTGACTCGCTCTGGTGACGAATCGGAGGCGCATACTGCGCTGGTACATTAATCTAAATCACAATCGCTCTCAGGGATGCCCGATACCGCCTTGCTTGCGCGTCGCGTACTGCTCATAGATCCGATACTCTACCCTCACACCTACTAGAAACCCTCACTCAACTGTAGAACTTACTGTACACATACAAGTAATGCTGTCACACGCTCCCCTCTATGCCATCTTTCTGCCTGTCCATCGGTAACAGAATCTACCAAGGCTCAAGGGTGTTCTCTCGGCCTCTTACGAGAAGGACCATTCCCGACGCCGCATTGAGGCAAGGCGGAGCCTCTCAAGTCCCTTGATGAGGCATCCGGTGCGTCGTCCGTCACAGCATCGTTGTCGTCGCCATCGGGTGAGACTAACCAAGCGGATACGTCCCCGGTTTCTGCGGCTATCGTCTGGTTATCCATGGGTCGTTGGTCGCGGCCATCGGAGGCTTCCGCATTTGACGGGCCAGCAAGCGACTCGAACCTTAAAACACCTTGATTCACGGCGTCTAGTATACGCTGATTCTGAGCGACGGACAGTGTCGAAGGATTTTGCGAGGGTATATCTACACAAATGCTCCCGTCATACACAAAATCACGATCGAAAGAATATATGCGCCTACTTGGTGGCCATCCGACTATCTGGATCCCATACGACGCGAGCTTGTCGTGATTCGTCCATTTCATTTCTGCAGAGCGCACGCCACTTGCCTCCCTGAGCGCAGCAGCGTGAACCATACCCCTTCACGACTGTTTGAGCAGGGTAGCGTACCTCAACGCATTGCGGACGGCGGCATAAACCTCGCTCTTCAGAGCGCTTGCGGGCCCCTTCTTGGCATTCGAGCTCCCTGAGGCCAAATTTGAGGAAGGCACCGATGAAGGACGGTAAGGAGCCTCCATAGACCCGCCAATGGACGCTGTAGCCAATGATCTCTCTTTAATAGCCTCGGCCTTGAAGGCACGAGCCCCACTGACGCCGCCTCCCCTCAATCCTCGCCAGAACTCCCTACCCAGGATGGTACCCCCAAGAAAACCCTCGTCATGTTTGCACAGAGGGTCCACGGATAGCATGAAGGAATGCACAGATGCCACTTCGTGAAGAGCCTCCAGCATTCGCGAGATACTCGTAAGTGTTTCCGTAACTGCATGTCGTTGAGCTATGGCCATCGTATCGAATACTATGGTACTCACCTTGAGCATGTCTATCGTCGAAATCTGTCGCATCCGGATCCGGGGGATCGAAGAGATACGAGCAATGCCAAGTGGCTACTTGACGCCGTATCTAATTGGCGTTCAGCTGGCGAGAACCATACAGTCTAAGAGCAGTGTAAACTACTTCTTCGTACGGACGTTGCTCGCGCTCAGAGAAAGCTTTGATCTCAGCCAGAGAGCGCTTCATGAAAGCCTCTAGCCTTTCTGAGTACAAACCGTCTTGCGATGCTGGACGGGGAGCATGAGATAGCTCAATCATGTTCAACACGGATATCGTCAGGGTAGCGTGTATTGCGATCGTTTGTTGACAGAATCACAGAAATCATGCATCGACGACGAGGTGTCAGGGCCTCTGAGGCTGCCATATGATGGCGCAGGACAAGATGTGTGCGCCACCGCACGGCGCAGGTAGGCAAGGATCCGAAGCTGAACGTGGTAGTGAGGCTGAACCGTTCGGCATGATGATACCCATTCACGTACAGACGCAAGACGCAATCAAGGCTCAAACAGTAGTGTACTGATGGAAATGACAACATGAGACAACATGATTAGGAACGTAGTCTCGTCCGGCCCAAATGATAGTGCTCATGACATCTCTATGTCATCGTCGCTACCGACATCGTCTGAATCTGCTTCTTCCCACTCGTCGTCTTCTTCATCAGCAGGTGACGGTGTTATGCCAAATCCATCCAGCGTGTGCATGAGTTCCTCAGCGTGTTCCAGCAACGGCCTGTCGGGATGGTCCTGATTCGTGTGCAACTATGTCATAGAAGTGAGCGTCAATGCACCAGACAGCTGGCGATCCGAGAACTGACCGTTTTGCACGTCTGTAAGCAGTCGTACGCATCTTTCGCAAGTTCTTCCCAAGTCAAGCCTTCTATAGGCTCCCCGCTCGTTTTTGACTGTTCGGCCATGAGGAAGAAACACCATCCTTCCAGATACCACGCCTCCACTTCCTGGTCATCGACGGCCATCACGCCTTGAAGCACGAGTAAAGCTGGTGCAAAGAGGGCAAGCTCTAAAAACAGTCGCACTAATGCTAGGCGAGTCTCTAGCGACGGTAATCGGGGATCGTCTGCCAGACTGAATGTGAGGGGCAGAATGGTGCAAGGTGACCTAATTACGCACCAACGTCGAAGTCCTTCCAGACGGACCAGGCTTGATCGAGCAATTGTTTAGCTTCGTCTGGCCTTTGTTGAGACATGCGCACAGATGCCAACATCTGCGTAGCCTCAGCATTTCCCGGATCCGTCACAAGTGCCTTCTGCAATAACTCCTCGCAGGTCTTTTCAGCCACAGGATCGAAGCTGCTCATGTTGTAAATGGTCGGATATCATGTCCATAGATATCACTGGTCATACCAAAGATCCTGCGCAGGATCCATCCAAATTTCGACCATGCTGATCAAGGCACGAACAGCAGTCTGTTTCGTCTCTGTTTCGTCATTTTTATCGTCGTCGCTAGCTCTCGCTTTGCCCTTGAGTTGAGCCTGTAAGATATCGACGGCGGTCTGGTAGTATCGGAGAGCGCTGTGAGGATCGTCTTCGGCCACCAGCTGCGCAAGGTACAAGAATGCCGATGTAGGCGGGGTCGGTGGTGCAGTCGAGCTAGGCGGAACGAGCGATTCAAACGTCTTGTATGCAGACCTATACGTTAGATGAATCTGGACAAGCCGTGGAGACCAGAGAGGAAACTCACCTGCTTAGCATCATCTAGATCTCCTAGCTCCAACTGCACTACCCCGAGCATCTCACGGGCAGTAGAATCTGTAGTATCCGCCTGCAGGGCGCGTTCGATGAAGCGTTTGGCGAGTTCATAGTCGCATTGAACGATCAGAGACTGCGCCTTCTCGAGTAGAGCAGCTGATGAGGGGGGCTCCTTTTGCCTTGCCAAGACGTCCAGCGTAGTAATGGCTTTCGTTTTCTTATTCCTGGTCCTACCCATGGCGGGGCTGGAGAACTTGTAGGAGAAATCGGAGTCGCGTGGGAATACTGCAGCTTTTGTCGCAGATCCTGCCAGTCCAATCTGCTCGGTTTACGATCTGTTGGGGTTCGTCTACGATGACCGATTGCGGAAACCCGGCCGCTGAACAGGATGCCCTTATGACTCGTAAGCATCATTGATCTTCATTGTTGATCGTATCTCAGCGTCCGGAAGGCAAGCGAAAGTACGACAAAGCCAAGATATGCGTTAAGTGCAAGTCGAAGCCCGGGAACGCAGTTTTCCGCCATGCGGTCTATTGCAAGTCTGCGCCTTTCATCTTCGAAACCTACAGGCAAACTGACCTCTCGTTGCAGAGACTGTTTCGTTCCCCACGTATGGTACAAATTTGGGAAAGCTCTGGAACCGTACATCAATCCTGGTCCGCACGGTCCACGCAAGAAGTCCCTCAACCCCACCGGTAACCTATGCATCGGGTACTCTGGAGGGATGGGCTCTACGGTTCTGTTAGACCTTGTGCATCGGTGTTATTTCGCTGGTAGAGATGCGGCGGATGACGCTGAAGGCGAGATTGGCGCTGACGGAGGGGCTCGACATCCGAGGCATGGACGGGTTTGGAAGCATGCGACTGTCTGCTTCGTAGATACTGGAGCGGCCTACGGCGTCGTGAGTCAGGTTCTGTGCATGATAGCTTTCTCCGCTCATCCCATACAGGCGCCAGATTTCCAGCCTCAAATCAAATCCGTGCTCTCCGCCTACCCGGAGTTCGAATTCATCCCAATCTCCCTTGAAGATGCATTCGATCCGGCGTGGTGGAACAGTGTACACGGTGATATTCCTCACAATGATTTAGGCATCGATATCAACGACGAAGGTCCGTCCGCGATGTACTTGGAACATGTAATGGTTCTTATGAAGTGTTAACCAGCCTTACCCTGTGTACCGACATCTTCTGGTTCTCCTCGGGATCGACTAAATGTCTTTTTGAACTCGATGCCGACGCCTACTGCTCGAATGGCAATGGTATCAACTTTGGTCCGGATTCTCCTCTTGTATACAGCCCACTCCCGAGGGTCATCCCATCTGCTTCTGGGCAACTCTTCGACTTCCCTATCCATCGGCCTCATAAGTGGCATCGCCCAAGGAGGCGGATTTGCGATCAATGCGGAACTTTACGAAGAGTGGGAGCCATCAGAAATCGTCGCGAAACCCCAGGACAGCTCTGTGAACGTCGAGGGCGAACATGTCGCAGGAGCTGGACATCGGCGCAAGGCACGCGCAACTTGGACCGGATCTGTTCGAATGGTACGGCCGCTGTCAGACATCTCGATGAAAGAGTGTGGCATGTACAGTTGGTGGCGGAACTTGAACGTCCTCATTAGCGACGATATTCCAATGGGTAGATTCGTTCATGAGGGATCCAACGTGAACAAGAGCATCGGTGGGCTGACGCGAGGCAAGCTCATCCTTTTCATCGGAGCTTCCCGCTGAGCCACGTTCAGATTTCATCATAGGATTAGAAAGGGACTATCCGTCCACCGTCTCTACGATTGCTCGGACTTGTGGGAAGCTCGCTCCGAAGACGCAGCCCGGCACATTGTATCGGTGCTGCATATGCGAAAGGTCTGTTGTCGCAGTTTAACATGGTGGCGGCTTCATTAACGAGAACTTCGTCCGACCGTTAGATTGTCTCCACCCACGGTTCAGGACTGGAAGGCGCGGATATCGATAAGGGATCTGTCCAACGGCAAGAGGAGTTCTCGCTCCAGTGTTCATCCAGCACCTGGACATTCTACACCCGGAAATGCTTCGATAAGTTTGGCGGATCACGTTTGCTACGCTTGTCACACCGCATGCACGAGCAAGAGCAGCAAGTCCGGGCTTTCGACGGCGGGCGCGGCGGCGATTCATCTGCCGCTGTGGACGCGATGCCACGTTGACGCTATGTTGCGTGGATGCACGACTGCGCCTGTCAAGGCTGCTGAAGCCTTAGGAGACCGCGAGGAGCATCGTGAGGTCTGGGAGAACAAGCTAATGGAACGCGAGGACATGCATGCCCTAGTGCAAGCATTCCTACTGCCGGAGGAATAAGCAATGGTGCATTACATATAAGTATCATCCGAAATGTAGTAGGAAGTCATCCTTAGTACCGATCCGATGGTCAGTCGAGGCCTGCGTTGTCCTGTGTATCTTTACGTGCGCCAGCAGCACTTGCCATCAATCATGGCATCGCGGTTATCTGAACTCTTCTTCCATATCACAGTACTTGATCCGTCCTAGATACTTCTGTGACGACCCAACCTGGCTTTGTCGCTGTCTTGCTTCAGTTTTCCGCCTCACCAACTGGCTCAGCCATGGACGACAAGGCGTCGTTACAACCCGTCCAAAAGCCTTCCTTTCGACCACCGCTATCCCGAACACTGTCAAATCTGCCAGCGCCAACAGTTGCGCGCCTGAAGAAAACAACGGGGCTGGAGTCGCATTTCCTCAAATCCCATGGTCGGCCCCCATGGTTCGTGCACACGACGCTCGTAGCGGCTGGGGGGTCATGCAAGGATTTGCACGTTGACGGGAACTTAGGTATGGCGAAGATGGTAACCCTATTAGTGATGCGTTCGTCATCGGTATAGCTGGTGTGTCTTCTCGTCCTTCGTGATTCTTCTGTGGCATTCATCTCGGACAATAGGTGGTTCTGCAAGCGGCAAGGTGGGACAAGCGTTCTTTGCGTTGCCACTTAAGTACATGAACCAGTGGTAGACGCACGTTGCAAGGCAGATAGTACAATCTCTTGGCTCCATTCCAACGGTGATCATTTTATCGCAAGTCCGTTCGTTACTGGCTTGCACCGCGACCATAAAGGCTCACGCTCTTTATAGGACAGCTTCTACAAGAAGCATGATGAAGCCGAACTAGCTCTAGCATTTGCGAACAAGTACGATTTTGACCATCCTGATGCTTTGGACATGCAACTGTTCGCCTCCGTGCGCCCCTCCTTGCTCCGGAGCCGTTCGGTCCCTGACCACGCATATCAGTGTCTCGAAGACCTGAAGAAGTGCAGGCAAACGCACATCCCGGTGTACTCATTCACAGAGCATCAAAGACTTCCACGAAGTGAAGACCGATATCTGTATGGTGCCACTGTTATCATCGGCAAGCATTGCGCTAGTCCATCGCACGCTTGTGCTCATCTTGCTCCATAGCTGAAGGCATAATGGCTTTACTTGACCCTACTCTTCGTAACTTGTACGACCTCAAGGTGTGTTTCATGACGTTATGTAAATGAGCTATAGTTTAACGCTCGTCAAGGTGTTCGTCCAATGCGACTCCGATCTGATGCTTGCGCGACGGATAAGGAGAGACGTGAAGGAGCGCGGGCGAACGATAGATGGGGTTCTTGATCAGTACGTTCTTCTAGATTTTCCTTGTATATTCTGACATTGATCGTCATGCATTCGAAGGTACTTGCGATGTTAGCTGGTATATATCATTCTTGGCAGACGGCACTACTCATCACGCTCCAGTTGTCAAGCCTGCTTATGATAACTTCGTGCTACCCACCTCCCGTCACGCAGATATTGTAGGTGGACTCCACTTTGACCGGGATAGGGTTCCGACAACATCATCCAGATCGTACCTGGCTCGGATAATGAAGTGGCAATCGACCTTATCTCTACCCACATCAGGCGGCAACTAGCGGATCGTGCTCGGTCATTTCGTCCACACATGGTTCCCAGTCCCTCATCCGCGTCTTTCGCGTCCAGTCCCAACAACGCTTTGGAAGATAAACCCAATTTCATTCTCATGAAACAGACCCCACAACTCAAGGTAACCTAGCCGATACGTATGAGAAATCCAAATGACAGGATACTCAGGGGATATACACGATTTTGAGGGATCGGACCACCTCTCGCCAAGATTTTATTTTCTTCGTCGATCGCCTGGCTACCTACTTAGTGGAGAAGGCTATGGAATACCTTCCACATAAGCCTAAGACTGTGACGACTCCCGTAGAGGTCGAAGCTCATGGGCAGATGATTCAACCATGCGTGGGTACTTGCATGTACGCTGTAAGCCTACCCAGCTGATACCGGGACGGACAGTGCCTTTGCGGTGTATCAATCCTACGAGCGTGAGTCCTCAAGACTTACGTGCGTTAGGCTCCTAGTAATATCGGGTTATCAGTGGTGGCTTGCTTGAACGTGGTTTGTCCAGGGTTATCCCCGACGTGACTGTTGGGTCGTTACTTGTGCAGTCCGATACGAAGACCGGCGAACCTCTGCTCCTTCATACCATGTTACCGGAATGCATTCGGAACCGGGAACGCGCCCGCGATGCATGGGTGTTTCTGTTGGATGCACAGGTCCGCTGCGTTATGTTTAGCCGTACCGCATATCTCGTGCTGATCCGTGTGTTGCAGGTTGGTACAGCAGCGTCGGCCTTCATGGCCATTCGAGTCCTTCTCGACCACGGCGTCCAACCAGGACACATTATCCTGATAACCTTCTTAGTCGCTCGTAACGGGGGCATTCCGTTCCTACAGCGCGCCTTCCCGGATGTGAAAATAGTCACAGGGGCCATTGACGACGGCCTCAGAGAGGTTTGGCTGGATCAAACGCCTGTGGAGAGCGATGGTCCCAAGGCATCTTCCCAAGGTGGTCACAAAGCCTGGGTGGTTGAGCCAGGTTTGGGACAAATGGGTACGCTATGCGCTGCTGGAGTGCGCGTTGCATCTAATAACACCATGCAGGTGATCGATATTATTTATCGTAGGATACGCGACGTTCCCGCTACCGGGCCGCTGTAGTCTTCCCGAATACATGGATCCTCGTGCATCCGCTCCCATCAGGGCAAGAAGAGAGGACACTTCATCGCGTGACCATGGTAACACGGACCGGCACACATGTCACGCGGGCATGTTGCTTCGGAAGTTGTCTTGCGCGCAGCTACTAAAGCAGCATTTTGTCGAAGAGGACGGGTGATCAACACGCCATGATACCAATATTGAAGTCATTGGTACTGATCGTCTTCTGCGCAGCGGCTGGGGCACGGCAAGCACCCGTCTCCTTCGTTCTCGTCGGAGACAGCACGACAAACAACGAGTGAGCGTGGAATGCATCTGAATCATTCGCTGGTACCCCCTAACACCGAACAGCACTGTAGTGGACTCCGGAGGATGGGGAAATGGTATGTGACGCTGGGCATCCCGGTTTTTGTACTGATCCACCCTCAAGGTTTTTGTGCGTCCTTGGCTCCTGACACGCCCTGCATCAACACGGCGCACGACGGAGCCACTACGGGCAGCTTTGAGGCATCAGGTCTGATGAACATCAGTCTGAGTCATATACAGAGCGAAGTCTCCAACGGTCGTCGCACGCTTGTAACCGTTCAGTTCGGTCACAATGATATGAAAGTCTGGGATGCCATTTCTGTCAACTGCCCGAGCGGCGCTGATTATCCTGTTAGATCGCTCCGCCCGAAAGCATGGGCCAGAACCTCACTGAAATGGTTCACCAAATTCGTGCCGTTGGTGGTGAACCCGTGCTAGTGACCAGGTGGGACTTTGAGGTCCGACACCTTGAGTTTTCAAACGTGTTGATTCGCACGATAGTCTGACACGCCGAAATTTCTTCGCGAATGGAACTTTGGACGACGTGCTGGAGCCGTGGGCTGAAGAGACCACCGAAATTGCCAAGGAGCAGCATACTCACCTGCTTGATCTGCACAAATACTCCATGGACTACGTCCAAGCGATTGGCGCGAATTCATCACACTGTCTGAACCGGACGCCCGACGATAATACCCGTGAGTATTCTTGTTCCGTCGGATGGAACGAGTACAGGTATTGAACCTTTGGCCTCACGGCACAGATCTGAATGCGAACGGGACTATCGTGTTTGGCCGGTCAGTGGCGTTATTCAGCCAAACCCTAACATCGACGCTAACGTGGCATGCTCGTAGCCTTGTCGCGGACTTGATGGCGCATAGCTTCCCTCACCAACTTCCTATCGTACCCAACCCGCCGCTCACATATAACATCACTCACGGCATTGCTTCGTATGCTTGTTAAACAGAGGGCAGCGATAGACGACATCGTCGAGACAATATTATAGAGAATGTGTATGATATCAGTTATAAACGATTGTTCAGATAGAACGAATGACGGTAATGATGGATGGATGGCGGGTATCATACAAAATGCCTTGACGAGTGCTCGACTATAAGAGGTCCGCAATTGGTCTAGGTCTACAGATCTATATGCAGGGTGCTGAGGTATGGTGAAGAGGTCCATTAGATTGTTCATTCGGTGGTGCAAACTTGTAAGGACGTTGCGAAGACCGATCCTGAAGTATCTGGTGAGAAGCGGACACAAAATTTTCGAGGTCGGCAGTACCTGGCGTGTAGAACCAAAAGCTGACCGCGATAATCACGTACAGACCTGTGGAGCGTGTCAATGGGACAATGCACGGGATGAGCGGTTTGGTCAACATACAGACGAGGATGACGCCTTCTAGCCAGTTGCTCTTCCCATCTCCAACCACGTAGCCCATGGTGTTTACTACGACCCGTCAGTACGAAGTATGCATGATAACATGGTCACCGTCACCTGAGATGTACAGCACCTACAGAGGACCGTGTGAGTAAGGTGAGGTGAGTGAGCCAGGCCATACGTACTACGGACTCGAAGGGATCGAACAATAGTGTCCTACGATCGGAACATACTGAGTGGGTCACCGCATAGAGAACACAAGAGACATTGCTAACATCGGTTTGTTCAGTACCCATCCTGAGAGGACGCAGAATCTGAGGCAGAGATTCAGTAGTGAACGCTTGCTAGACAAGAATGGAAACGCACGGTATGACGCAGAGGGCGGTTTGCTACAACGAATTGAATTATCAAAGGAAACCCCGCTGCGACGAATGACTCACGATAGTCGACCCTATCGCTACGCTCATGCTCAGAGATAACTGATCTTTCACCGAAACGTTGACAGCCGTGATACACTCTGAAGGAGGATCATGAGCGATACTCTGACGGCTGGCCGAGATGTCACTCACCCGCGAACGAACTGACCATCGGCAGGAGGATGAGGCCGATCCAGTCCTTGCTGATGGTAGAGGTGAAGCCATCCAAGTTCTCGATCAACAATTCCGCATTGAGAGCCACCAACTGTGGATGGTATGAAAATGCGGTCAGTATGTGATGGGTTACGAAGCGCACGCACACAAGGAGTGGCCGCAAGCAGGAGCACCACCATCGCCCAGCTAAGCTCCGGGATGCGTCGACGGAGCTGGAGCGGCTCGACGGATTTGGACAGATGGCCAGGCGTATCCGGAGGCGATCGATCGTAGCACGAGTAAATGTCCGCGATACCCGACTTCTCGTCGTCCAAAACGATGGTTTCTTCGCGCGAGGGAGAAGGGCTCCCTTCCCGGGAACATTCCGAGCTCTGCAGGGACTGCGAAGAAATGAGCCTGATCGACTTTGGGAATTCGGTCACGCTCGGCTTGGGGGATCGGTAGCGGAGGCTCGGGGCCGACTCGATGCCGGTTCCAGCTGGCTGGTCATCCAAGCTGTGACGGAATGCCTCTCCGGTGGAACGCTCAGTGTCGCACCGCCGCAACCGCAAGTCGTCGATATTCGGCGAGCAGGCCCGCGAGCCCGCCAGCGGGGAGTTCCCGTGCTTGCAGTGGGCTCCATGCCTGTGCTTGAACGTCTCGCTGGGTCGTTCGCTGTCCTTGTAGAGGTGGGAATGCGAAACCAGCTGGAAGAGGAGGTACGACAGGTATACTGGACGGTGTGACGTCTGTTTGAGCGCATCCGTGTATCAAAATCATTTTTATACTCACTGACGAAGAGTATGATGGAAACCTGAGGGGAAGAGTTTATCAGTTAGATCGAATCAATCCTTACATCGTCACGTACTCCTCTGCTCATCTTGAGCAAGTCCTTTTTCTGATCGTCTTGGGACTTTTCATTCGTTGCATTAAGCGCAAAGTGGTAGGCCGCAGGTAAAAGGAGAGCACCGACGCTCAGGCTGAGCAACGATGAGTGCATCTGAGTCGCAGCTTACCGAGACAAAGCAGGGTCGGTCAGAGATGATCCCAACACTGCAGAAGGAGCCCCGACTCACTGGCATCAAAGCCTTGCTCGGAGAAACGCATGCCGCCCGCGAAGAAGCACATCCCGAGGACAAGAACTGTAGGGTATGAGTTACGACGGTGCACAAACTGTGAGGTGGCCCGACTCACGTAGTTTGCTCAAGATCCCGCCGACCACTGCAGGGCAGGCCGTGAGTGATGGGATAGGTTATATTAGTCTGTTCGACTGACGAGATGATTGCACCACTCGAAGTTCACACTTGCGAAGTGCAATGACCTACGCCACAAGATCAGATCATGTATTGGATACAGCTATCTGGTGCATGCTTACCGCTATCACGATCTCGACGCTAGCAGTGCAAGCGATGAGGATCAGCTCAATGCGTCCGAAGGGTTCCTTCAGACGTACGTGTTTCCCTGGTCATAAAGGCTGTCAGCATCTGGTAGTCTGCGGGCTGCAGGTAGGATAAATGAGTCTTACCATGGTTGCATTCAATAACCCCGTCTTGCTACCGCCAAGTCGCGCAGCGAGATCGGCGGTTGCAAGATCATGTAGCTGATCATCCATTCAATGGTGATACATGCAACAGAGGAAGAATACACACCCTGACGAGAGGAAGGAACGTGATGATACAAACTGAAACGTCTTGTTAGTTATGAGCAACGTAGAAAAATGAGGTGCGTACATATGCAGACAAGAGTGTGAGAGGATTCGAGAGTTTCGCTGAGGATCCACTGAAAATATGTCAAGTTTTTGGAAGAGGCGCATATTCAGAGGGGCGTACAGCAGCAGGCAGCAAGAACAAGAGAATATTGAAGTCTACAGAGTGTATATGGTTAAACGACAGGAACTTCCTCTCAGAGAATGAGACGTACAAGATCCAGCCAAAATGGTGGTCCAACCATGCCACCACCGATACGTGCTCGGATCTGCAGGCGGACGGTCTGGTTGCTGCACGTCCTGCGCGCTTTGTTGCCCGTCAGGATGAAAGCGCGGCAGCTCGCGGTCGGCCTGTCGCCTCCCCCAGCTCCAGTTCTTCTCGCGCCACGTCTGGATCAAAGACTTGGGTTGCGAATGCTTGGTTGTGCTAGGACTGTGGGCTACGAGGTTCGATGTGGAGTCGACAGAGATCTCGGACGTGCTGGTGAGCGTTCGCGCTATCGGCAGCGAGTACAACTGCGAAGGTTGGGGGGAAGCCATCGCCGATGTCGTCGTCGCCGTTGTCCGCAGTGCCGGCAGCGATGTGGTATACTTATGAAACGGGCACGGCGGACGACTGAGACGGGGCGCGTTCATTTAGCGATCCACGCGAGCGTTCGACGCGATCGGCTACGGGCTTCTTCACGGACGCGAACCCCATTTAGGAATGCGTATGCCCATGAATGGAAGGCGCGGTGCTTCTTGAAGCTGTCGGCCGTCATTGAGATGCGCCTCCGAGCACGGTAGCAAGAGCAGGGCTTGTTCGATTGTGACAGCCGTGACTATTGCTGGAGTCGCTATATTGAGAATCAGAGCCCAACATCCGTCGTCTCTGGAGATTTGGAGGTGAAAGAACAGGCGTGATCGTGGGTATTCTTTTTTTTTTTTTTTTGGTTACGAGCAGATATTCTTATTTAGCAGTCGACAAGCATGTCTAACCCTAAATAAGCTACTCCTAAATAGCGGGCTTTGTGTAGCCCGGTCCGAGGAAAAATGCTCAATACTACGACCCCTGGGGGAACTCCAGGGTGAGTGGGGCTCGTGCACTACCTAGGTGGCTCCGGTCTGCGGAGTCTCGGCAGCTTAATACCCACTAAAACCTCACGGCGTTTGGCCCAGTCTTCCGGGAGTGCCTGCTCGTTTAAGAGCAGTCCATCCCACGTTCCCTGCACTTGCCTCACGTGCGACTCCGTGCGTATCGTTCTGCATGCCATAGTGTGGTCGCTTTCAAGTCGTCTTTGTATGGCCATCGCCCACCTTCGTCGTATTGTTTCTCCACTGTGCGTCCTGTCTTGTATCGTCCGTTCACACCGGAGCACCCATACCAGGTACGCAGACTCCGAGATTAGTATCCTCATGAGCCTTGACCGATTAGTCCGGAGTTGTTCGACTCCTGTTTCGTGGCTCGTTTCTTTGATTTGAATCGCGCCGCATCCAAGGATGAGGCCGAGTGTGATGTTGGGCGGGGCTCCTCGGCCTTGCGGCCAGGCGTCGTGCAGCAGGTCCCACACTACCTTCCCCGGCCCGTTATCACATCCCGTCATTATGTGTTCCAGTGATTCCTTGTCCCCGCAGTAGGTGCATGCCTCTCTTTCCACGAGGCCCGGGACATTCTGCCAGAACTTCCCTAGCCTGTGGGATCCGTGCATTGCGCGGTATAATAGTTGTCTCACCGGTTGGCGGAGGTCTCTGCATCTTATCGACTTCCACAGAGCTTCGTCGTCCAGCATCACGCCGTTTGTCTCCTTGATTGCGTGCCGTGTCATGTCCAGTGGGGTCAGTGCTGCCGGGTGTACGGTCTTCGGTCCTTTGTGGGCCAATACCCTTTCATACAGCATAGATTGGGTCATAGCTGAAAGCTTCGCGCCCCGAAGGTTGAACTCTGGGGGAATGCTGAGGTCGAGGGTGTCGGCTTCGTCTTTGTTGGTTCCTTCTTTTGCCAGTGTGTCTGCCCTTTCGTTTCCTTCCTCGCCAGAGTGGCCTTTGACCCAGAGGAAGTCCGTCGTCGCTGACCGTCTCCTCAGGTGGAACGCCGTGGCTTTGAACAGGTCGGAGTTCGCTATTCCTGTCCACCCTATGTCCTCCCACCTCGGGAGGTGTGCCATTAGGCCAGCAATCACATACATCGAGTCGGTCTTGAAGAGTATCGGTACGAAGGGCGCCGTCGTCTGCAGCACTACCAGGACCGCCGCAACTTCACCCCTCTGGTTCAAGTGTTTATCCCCTGGTACTCTGATAGCCCTGCTGGCGCTTGGTATGTCCGGCACCCATATTCCACTTCCGCATACCGCGTCCAGGGACCCGTTGTTTGTACAGGATCTGTCTGTATATATGGTCATTCGTTCTTCCTCCACGTTTCGTCCCCTGGCAGGTCTACTGAGTCGCGTGGCAGGTCCTCTCTTCGGTTTGTGTTCGCCCGCAAAAATCCTTATTCCTTCGCCGGGTTCGGTTTTGAGAGACACTGATGGGTCAAAACGTATCACTCCCCGACGGCTTCTCTCTTGCCTGTTCTTCTCTTGTCTGGTGTGTGTCAGGGTCAGTCCGTCGTCTCGCCTCCTACTGTGGATTGAGAACCGCGGTTCAATCCGTCGAAGTATTGTGTCCGCTCGTTGGCAGCACATGTTTGGGTCCTGGCACCCCGCGTTGCGGTCAGCAACACATTCATCGCACTGGCATCTATTGTGCCGCGAGTGACTGATCTTCCATATTCTTTTCGCTTGGTCTAGCATATCCTTGACCGTTACCACTCCGTGTGCGGTCTTCAGGCACTTGTCCTTCGTCTTGTGGTATGTCCATCGCGGTGCTCCTAGGTGGCACCAGGCAGGTAGGAGCATTTTCACCTGGTCTGCAATCCTGATTGCGTCGAAAACGACATCGTATTTCTTCACCATTTTCAGCCAGAGGGCAATATCCCTGGGCATCTTCGCTGCGTTCGGGCCTTGTGTCGGCGCTGCCCAGTCTTGTAGGAAGGAGTTCAGCCTGTCTTTCGAGTCGACCCCTTGTGGGGCGGCGTTGTTCACCAGTAAGTCCGCCAGGGCGGCCCATCTCGGCCTTTGATTGTTCATGGTGAGGTACTCCCGCAGCCATACCAGTGCGATAGCTTCGTTTCTAGCCTCTAGGTTGATGAGGCCTATCCCTCCTTCCTCCTTGGGTCGCTGGAGCTCGGCCATCACTATCAGGGAGGCTCGGCCTTCTCCCCATATAAAGTTGCATATCATCTTGTTCAGGTCTTCCAGTATCGAGTTTGGCATTCCCTGTACCCTCGTCTTGTACTGGGTGAGTCCTCCGACCACCATCTGCACGACCAGGGCTTTCCCTTGTAGTGTCGGCTTCGCTGCATTCCATCTGTCTAGGTTCCGTTTCACCTTGTCCGCCGTGTCCGACCATACTCCCGCTTCGTCTATCCCGTTCCCGATCCATGTCCCAAGCAGCTTGGCCGCCTCTCCATCTTTTAATATTCGCACATCCTGCGGGATCATTTCCACCGTGCTCGCGTCCATCTTTCTCGTCTGCCATACCCTCTCTCGGAACTCTCCGGTGCCTATCGGTATGATCTCCGTTTTACCTTTGTTGAACTTTGCTCGTGATGCCCTGCACCACCCGTCTAGGATGTCAAGGAGGTCACTGTACTTGTCCTCTGCGGACAGGTACACAGTCGTGTTGTCGGCAAACAGTGCCACGATGATGGCTTCCGCCTTCCCTGGGATCCGGAACCCTCTCAGTCTTCCATCCCCTCTTAGTTTTCATGCTAGCGGTTCAATTGCCAGGTCGAAGAGGATGCACGATAGTGGGTCTCCCTGTCGTACGCCTCGCGTTACTCTGAAAGTTCTACTTTTGACGCCGTTTATCATTACAGTTGTGTTCGCATTTGAGTACAAGGCTTTCACCGTGTTGATGAAACGTTTCGGCAAGTTGAATGCTTCCAGGGTTGCCCATAGGTATTCGTGGTTGATTTTGTCGTATGCTTTTTCTTGGTCGAGTGCTACAATTATGCCGTCTTCTTCCATGGCTTCCGCGTATTTGACCATCATTTGTGACAGTTTCACCTGGCTGAATATCGACTGGCCCGGTATAAACCCGGCTTGATCGCTGTGCACCATTCCGCCGATCACATCCGCGAGTTGCATGGCTAGAGCCTTGGTGAGTAGTTTGTGGTCTGTGTTGAGGAGAGTGATCGGTTGGTAGTTTGCGATGTCAGCCTTGTCCCCCTTCTTATATATCGGGCACATCCATCCATCCGTGAACTGTGTCTTCTCGTCCATGCCCTGGGTTTGGATGTCGTTAAAGACTTCCGCCATCACCGACATGACGTTGAAGGACGCCATCTCAAATTTCACTCGTTTCGCGTGCAGTGAGTCGAGTTCCTTCCACACTTCATACGGTATTCCGTCCAGGCCCATGGCCTTCCCGCTTTTCGATCATTCGAGCGCTTGTCTGACATGATGTTCTGTCAGCGGTTCTTGCATCGTTTCTCTGACGTTCTCCGGCAGCTTGCGCTCCTCCGGGATTATCGCCAGTGCCGTTTCTATATTCCGCCGGTGTGTTCCATGGGCCCACTCCTCTTTTTCTCCGTCATGCTGTAGCCGCTCGTGGTGCAGTCTCGCGATGTCCGCCATCTACTCCGGCGGAGTTGGACGGCTGCTCTGGGTCCGCCGAGTTGTAGATCCATAGGCGTTTCCCATACATTCTCGTTATTGCTTCTAGGTTTTGTTCTGTGAGGTGAGTTTCCTGGAGCGCGATGATGGCGATCTTGTTGTCCCGCATCATAGCATGTATGTCATTCCACTTGTTCAGTGGGGTTCCGCCCTGCACGGTGTGTCCGTTCATGTTCAGGGTCGCCACTTTTAGGTGGGCATGTTTTGCCCTCTTCGGGCCTTTCGGGGCTTGGTCGTCCTGAACCTGTTCAGCATTTCCGCCTCCGAAACCTCTCCGAACGTCGTCGAGGCCGTGCCCGGCGGTGGGGGGCACGTCCTCTCTGTTCGCGGGAGGGCGCGCGCCAAGACCGGGGTTTGAGACCGTAGATAAGGGGGGTGTGTGTGTGGTTGTGGTGTTGGCAGCAGGCTGTATGACCCGTATTGCGCCCTCTGCCTTCGAGGGCGCCAGGGGAGACTATTATCGTCCGGTCTTCCACGGACAGGACTATGCTGAGGTACTCCTATAGGCACCGCTCGGGCGATGGCATTTAGTTGTTTACTCAGCTTCAGCTTACACGCGCGGCTTGTCCGGCCTAAATAGGCCTCCGCTGGCACTTTGCCAAGGCGCCGGTCTTGTAGCATGTCGACCATCAGTCCTCCTTCCCAGTGAAGGAGCTGTATATTAGGTCGGCATAGCTTGGGGTGATGCGTGCCGCGACCGGTCGACACGCCCCCTTGAGTCCCGAGCCATCGTTGGTAGCAGCGTGTCATCTCGTTTAAGATTCAGAGTGGGGGTTACACGCCGTCTATCGTCTATGTATCGTTACAGTTGTCTGATCTGGTCTACGTGCGGTTACATTCCACGTCCCTGGTTCCTACCTCTGAACGCGCCACAGGCATTCCCGTACCCTCTGCGCCCTTGGTCTTGGGTGTGCGTTGAGGAGTTCTTGGTCGATCCGTGGAAGCCCGCCGGGATCTGCTCTCGGATCGGGCACAGGCCGTATACGTGGTCGACTCCGTAGCAAAAGGTGCATTGGCCGGCGTGGCACTGTTCGACGGGTCCAACCCGCGAGTGCCAGAAGTTGGTCTTCGACATGATCGCATGGACGTCGCGGTATGCGCAAGGGAGCGAGGTGTTGATTACCGGGCCGTATATATTGTATCGTGGTTGCGGGCGTCCCTTGGGCACGAGGAAGGGAAGTATCTGGCATTCCAGGTTGTATATGAAGTTGTTGACCTGTTCGATAGCTTTGTCGTTGTTGGGGTCCATGCCGAGGGCCATAACGATATTGGAGGCTTTCCCTGCGAGGGCTACCTGGACGGCGTAGAGCATGAGGTCAGCATCCACGTCCAGAGGTCCTTTAAGTGTGAGGTAGTACAACGGGTTGACGACAATGTCATCGAAACTGAGGGCGAGGAAGGCTACATCGGCGGAGGCGAAGACACCCTGCGTGAGGATGCGGGCTTTGTTCTCTGCCGTCAGGTAGGTGAGTAGTCCCGTGCGGGGTTGGCGTTTGTCCGCTGCCACCGGCATAATAATTCTCAGTCGTGCGCCGTCCTCGAGGAAAGCCTGAATCACGGCGCGTACTTCTCCAAAGGCGTCCTGGGCATCGTCCGCTGAGAGGTTTGGCTTATCAAAGACGGTGATGAGGATGTTATTGCTGAGGTTTTCGTCTTCCTCTGCCCAGTCGCGTACCTGGCGCTCTTGTATGTCTTCCAGCTGTTGGAGTCGGAAACGCATGTGTGGCATGGTCCACCCGCCGGCCGGTGCCTGGGCAATGGGTATCTCCACCCGGCGGGGGCGGTCCTTGTCTACGGCCGTGTATGCGCGGTTCGCGATGAGTTGGTCGTCGATAATCGCTAGTTTCCCTTCGGGTGCGCTGTCTGGGGGAGGGGGGGGAAGGTCGTCGTCCCGTGAGACTTTGACGTCCGTGATACGCTCGGAGTCCAGTGTTCCGGTTGAGCCTTTCATCAGGGACGCCGTGACGAGCAGGGCGATTTCCTGCTGCCTCCGTCCAACTCCCTGGGGGGTGGTGTTCCGGGTATCTTGCCCACCCAGGTGTGTTCCTGTGTTGCCTGCGGGTCTGAGGTGGGTGGTTGGGGTGACGATGAAGGCGGGCTCCGCATCGCCCAGGTCTTCCTGTGCCGCCATCTGCACGTTGTCGCGACGGAAGTTTGTGTGTGTTGTGGCTGTGTCGAAGAGGCGAGGGGAATTCTTGAGGTGATAGGAGTGTACCACCGATTCTTCAGCTTCTTCTTGCAGAAACTTCCCTGAGGTCCCGGGCTATCTAAGTCGGGGATTGCTCAGTTGGCCGTCGGTTAATAAACCTGACTTGAATTTGATGGGACAAGCTTTGTGAGCTTGTCGGCGATACCTAAAGAGGTAAGAAGACGGTTAGCCTGTATGGGAGGCTTGAGGGGTCTTGTGTTGATGTGTTGTACGACGCGCGGCGCGTCGAAGTTCCTAGAGAAATAAAGGGAGGGATCAGTGGTTCCTTGGGTGGCGGAGGCGATAGAGCGTGGGAAACGGTTTCGAACAGCCTACGGTGGCTGTGTAGAGTCGATAGCGTCGATAGAGAGTCGATAGGGAAGCTGTCCAGGCACTCGAGTCCTGACAGAGAGAGAGTTTAGCAGACGACTGCTGAGTAC